AACTGATTTAAAAAAAATCATCATTAAAACACACCAATCAGAGGTGTCCCTTCCGTGCTTTCATCACAAAACAAACTCACAAAAGACTATACCAAATGTTTTTATATATTTATACGTTTTTCATACACAAGCAATACAAATAAAATGTATTTAAGTAATACATAACTGACAAGGGAGGTATTAATATTTGAGTGATTTTACTAAAGAGCAAAATGATTTTTCATCGGTGAACCCTAAGTACCATTCACTCTAGAATTACGGATACGCAGTCAGTATATTTTCATTTAATATCATAATATACACGGTCGTGTTTACTTAATATATCATTATCATGTTCAGATAATTTTGATTTAGAGCAGAATAAAAATTCTGTCACAATTTCCCCCAAAATTTTAATAAATATTGCCCTTTAAAGAACCTCTTGATTCCCTAGAGGGGACTTAATCAATCAGTTTTTAGTGCAAAAGTTTCATTAAGTCCCAGAATGCCCTCCATAAACCCAAATCCCACACAGAATCAATAACGTTCTTCCGATATTACAGTATCTTCTCTCTCCTTGTAAGTTGGCGGGGGAGACATCGGGGGGACGGTCTCGTCGTATCCAGGTGGGGGGCATCCGTGCTGTTTGGGAAATGTTTCTGTGTCAATGTCACCATGACGAAAGTCTCCATGAAGGTGACTGGGAGAGACAGGAGAGTTGAACGGTTCACTTCCGGTTTGATATGGATGCATATCACCCATAACCTCTAATTCGTATCCAAACTCGTCTGTAAGAAAAAAAAAGATTTCCATCGTCAACTTTGTTTCCCTTATGTATGCAGTAGTGTACTAGCTATTGCCTGCAAAGGGTGCTTATGTCTCTTAACTAATTCGATAAAGAGCAATTTCTGAGTACAATCAATTTTCAAATCAATGAAGGATTGTGACCAAACAAGTTAATATTACAAAGATTTCAACAAAATCGTTTTAAAAAGCATATCACAATTTATGTGGTCTTTAAAATGACCTTGTTTGAAAATACAAACGTACAACACATCGATGGGTCGTATTTTAACAAATATTTTCCCATGGCACCAATTTTTTTTTACACTAATTTGGCAACAGATTGCGAGTTGCAATCCCAAAGAGGGACACGGAAACTGGTCCTTCGAATGAGAGTGTTAAAAAAAAACTCATTGCTCACTGACCATAATTGCCATGCAAGTACGGAAGTTGATGACGTCCCAACAAGAAAATATTTCATATAAAAGATATATAAAATAATGTAAAGTTTAGCTCAAGTTTTACTCAAAATCAAGCATTCCATTCAGTTAAGTTAAAAAAAGACTAAAAATTAACTGAAAGTTGACTGAATTGCAGAGCTCTACCATTCAGTCAACTTTCCAAACCTTTCATTAAATATACATTGGACTGGATGGCGTGGTTTAGTTTCATCCTATGTTAGGATATGCATGCACTGACATGTGTCAAGTTCAGTTCATGTATTTATTACAGCTTAGTATATATAGACTCGCGTCTTAGCTTTCGCGCATATTTGATAATGTACCGTAAATCACTTTTTATTCGCGAGAACTTTATTTTCGCGTAATTACGCGAGACAGTGTGCTCGCGAAAATATCGCGTATATTAGTATTCCTTAAGATTATATACAGTAGTAACCACAATTCGTGAAAATTTTGTCTCGCCAATAAAAAGTACATGTCTACCTCGCGAAAAAAAGGTGTTGCAAAAATTTAGTGATCTACAGTGAATTAACATCTCTTCTATGTACATGTACTTATATTTCAGTTCCGGAGATACAGTTTCAAAAGCACAATAGATGTATATTTACACTTATGTCAGATTTTAGAAGCAATACAAATATTTTTTCAGTTTTCCTGCAAGCATCTTCATTATTTCAAGGCTTTGTCGGATAATCCTTGGCATTCTGGAGCTAGTTTCCAAACACAATAGTACAATTTCGCCACATAATCACGAGCATATATCTTTTTCTTCCCTCTTCGGCATAAAACGCACATTAAATATATTTCTGCAAACATATACCTATTTCGGGTTCTACATCGACAAGCTGTTTTGATTTCTTGTTGCTTTGCCAACATATGAACATCATCACGGATACAATGAGAAAGAAGACCAGAGCCCCCACCACACCGCCTACGATGGCGCCCGTGCTGTCAAAGAGAAGCAATACAAGGTCATACACAAGTCTGTACTTTTTACTTTGAGATATAAATCAAGTTTATATTGTAAAACACAGAGTAAAACAGAAAAGCTTAAGGGCGTTAAAACCAGATTGATTTCAATCATTACACAGACTTACTTATCCGCGGAGCAGCACTTCCGACTTCGTTCAGATCCACAACAACCGACAGAGCAATACTCGTAGTAAAACAGAGAGCTGTTGGAGGAATAGAACGTCTTACAAGTGATTGTCAGGGCCCCTGTAATAGGAGAAAATAAAAAGAATTATAAGAAAAGGAACAGTGATAATGCCAAAAAGATATTCCGATATATATATATATATATATATATATATATATATATATATATATATATATATATATATATATATATATATATATATATATATATATATATATACCTCGCTCCAGGGAAAGCACTGCATGAGCGCAGAGGCCTATTCCTAACTCTTAAAGATCACACATAACACAAACAAAATTTTGATGCACGAATTGATAAATATTTTTTGACTGATTTTGAATAGAAATGACATAAATAACAAATCCCTAAAATACAACATGTATAAAGAAATCGGAAGTTTTCTTTGGTGCTTAGATATATGCTACTTTGTGTTGTTTTCTGTGTAATTCTATATATACTAAATTTTGCACATAATTGATTTAAACATTATAACAAAATCTCAGACTTTACCCGGCAATTATTATTCAGGTAACCTATTTCAATATAAATCTATGAGCAATATCACTGATTTCTGAAACAAAAGTTTGTGTTATTTATCCTTAAGAACAAATATCAGAGATTATTCAGAGAATGTCAATGATCATGGCACTTTGAGTTACATGTACATTTAATGGTGGATCGATCCTGGGACAATCAGAGTTTTGTCCCCTTCGCTAGTACATGTATAATAGAAGAGTATTACGACTTTAGTGAATGTGGGAATTAACAGATTTTATCAATGTTTATTCAACGTACACTGAATACATATATATCTGTCGGAGGAGACTTTTCTTATTTTCCAAACTTTTTTATTCCGTCACATTGTGATGTCATAGGTACAAATATAGTTGGGATAAAACTATATTTAAGTTTTTAAAAAAAAATGTGATAAAAAGAATTTCCTAAGTTTGTAATTGTATCCTAAAAGACTTGGGGAGAGAAAACACACAACTAGTTGTATACATGTGTATGAAATGTTAAAATAACGGAGAGTAATCATGCACAAAGTCCACTGGTACAATACATACTAGGCGCAGAGCAAACATGGACCTCTAAAATATAAAATTCATTTGATGATTCTCTACATATTGAATCACTGAAGATTTAAAATCAGTTAGTGGATTTATTCAAAATGATATAAAATGTTAATCCTAAATGTAAAGGAGTATATAGTGAATTATGAAACCATATGAAGAGAATTATAAAGCAGAAATACCTCTGGGCTTTTGATGTTGTTCTAAAAAGGCATATACATGTACCGCAACTTTAGACAGACATATATGTGTGCAAAGTGCTTACCTTCAAAGTAAGCCAGTAGAAAAATCAGTTGTACCAGACAGAATCTACATGGCCACAGCCCCATTATCGGTGTATAAGCCTTGCGTCCCTATAAATTAGTGTTCCTACTTGTAATATGCTTTAGAAGGGTAAAAATATTCGGCTGGCAATTTTATTATTTTCATTTAAGTTACAAATTTTCTGTTTTCTTTTTGGATTTATTTAAATGTCAGAGTTTTCGTGTGTTCAACTTTTTAAGTCTCTGGTCACACTGGATCGTCGGTACATTTAACAACAAACTGTGGGATAAGAACACCCTTCTTATTAATATAAAGAGAAAAACGACTGTAATATATCAGTAGCATCAAGCTCCAACAAGAAACGACTGCATTATGTCCAAGGGCTCCTAAAGAGTAGGCAATTTTGCTTAAAAGGACTGAGTATCATATTTTGGTGAATTACTTGAAAAGTCGAATTTCTCTTTTTAACAATGATGTATCGCATTGTGTTTAGGACCGGTGATTATTAAAAAAAAATCCTGATAAAGTTAAATAACTTTTTAGTTTTAGTTTAATTCTGTATGTGCTGGTTTCAATCCAAGGCCTAATATCCTACATCTACATCTCTTGATCTTTAGAAATCCTGGCTAGCAGTTGGTCTTTGTTGCCGATGATGATTAATTCGGACCAATTTTAGCTGTAATTATATTTTAGCGCCATTCGTGCTGCTTCTTGCTCACTAATTTATGTGATTTATAACCAACACAACTCGTTATTTAAAAGACTATAATGCCCTAATTTATGATTGCGCTGCTCAGTGGAAGATGACGATTGTGCTAAAAGTTGAGTGCACGTGCACTAGTTAATTAGTTGTTTAATTTATCATTTGCTACAACTTTTTTGTCTTTCAAATAGATTTTTTTTACATTCTTGAATCCGCCGGTCCTTTTTATCCCAAATCAATTTCTGAGTTTTCTTTTCCCTTATTTTCTTTTGATAAGAATGTTATACAGTTGAAAATAATAATAAATACAAAGACGTGTCATTACTTATAACTTTATTATATTATAAAGGGCACTAAAATAAATGATACGTGTACGAAGGACATGTGGGCGGAGCTCGGTACATGTATGGGTACTGTATGGGCATATAATATATACATATGCATGTATTCGTGATTAAAACATAGTCTAAATAAATTCATTTTATTAGTTTTTAAATTTCTTCTGTTAAGAAGAATTCAGGAAAACATATAACAAGCAATAAGAAAGGTTAAAAAGATTTTTAAAATATGTACGTATGCTATCTAATTTGTCGGATTACAAAGGTGTTTTCTGTCGGGTTGCCGTGTATCAGAGATTTCGTGGACTTTGGTGCCAGAGTCACGCCGATTCTCTCCCCTTTCTCTAACCACCTGGAGAGCACTAAGATTTCGCTATGTCCTGCCCATCCCTTCTTCTGCCTCATTCGGTTACAGCCTAAGGTAATTCCTGATGACGTCACAATGCAGCTGTAAATCATGACATCGCCCATGCCTGCCTTAAGATGCGTCTCAATGCTCAGTGTCGAGTGAAGGTCGTAAAAACCACTTTTGGGGATTATAAAAAATCCACTGGAGTACGTTAGTCCTCCCTTGGTGTATGTCTGGTTTTTGTAATTTTTCCATCTTAGAAACTCGTGTCCATCTACGGTGATATGAAAAGTATATGTCCGTTGATTTAATTGTTTCCAATAAAAAAAAAATACCCAATGCTTTTAAATACCTAATTTAATAAAAATTTAATAGCTATAATAAAACTCTTCGAAGTGAAGTACAAATGAATTGCCATTTAAATCATAAACCGATTAATTCAAATACCCCATAAAGATTTTAAAAAAAATTAATATCAGTGTCTTTTAATATCTAAGCTGTTTAAAAACGTATCGAGGAAATCCCCCGCTAACACCCAAATATCGCTACGTGTATATTTTTAGAAACTTCTTATACAACTAAGATATACCAAGTAAGTATTACACAGGTTAACTATTGTAACATATAAAACTCATACATGCATCTCAGAAAAATCATCAACAAATACGTAACTCACTTATCTCAGAAAAAAATAGCTAACTTCAGCCGTGCGTAACTCATATATCTCAGAAAAAATGCTAACAAGTAGAGGCCTACGTGACTTACAATGAAACTGTGTTCTTCGCATGACTGCATGGCATGCATTTTTTACTCTTTTACGGGATAGGGTCACATTTTTTTTTTAAAGGTCTACTACATTGTACGAATAATCTATTTTTCAAACCGCAAAATCAATCGATGTATGCATATATATTTAATTAATAGATAAAATAATTTATTTTTTAATCATAATAAGAAAGATTGATCTTAATTCCTATAGCCTACTGACCTGATAACGAAGTCGTGTCTAGAACCATGTACGCCACAGGAAAATTCCCGTGAAACGATTCGTTCCGAGAATATGCTGGAGTGTTGTGTGGCTATGAAAAGATATAAACATGATAAATATAGTTACAATATCACGTTTATAAACTATCCCTTTCCGTAATCTGTATAAACAATGAATTCTTAATCTGCAAAAACTTCAATTCTCAGTTCTTAGATTAGGAGAAAATTGCGGAAGGGTCTCCATCTATAACGAAATGGAAGATATTTATGGAATTGAACTAGTGTTTAAAAATTGATAACTTTAATTAAGTCATTATTTTTTCCATTCAAATTAATATATACATTATTTATAGAAAACTCACCAATTTCCAGTGATCTTCCAGAGATGTCTTAAAAACATTTCGGACATAGACGAGAACTCCCACAAAAGCAAGAAACGTCACCATGGATACTGCTGCTGACATAATAGACACAATGATGGACTTTCGGCATCTTCTTCGTTTTGTTTTTAATTGTTCTGGAACTGTTTCCTTTGATATTTCGTCTGTTGATAATGCTAATTCCTCGTCAACTAAGAGGGTCATGTTTGGTTGTACTGTAGAGTCTCAGCACAATTGTTTACAACATGCAGTAGTTATAACCAAATATTGTTCTATTTTTAAATTTAAAAAAAAATTCAGTAGCGGTAAGAGCCAATCATTTTCAAAACTTATTTTTGGTTTGCTGAAATTCCCAAACAATTCCATATCTATAAATAAGCACACATACTTGGGGTCTCTCAAAGTTTCGTGTATATATGAATTCGCATCAATTGTTGTCTTTTCAACGAATTTTATTTAAAAGTTTGTTTTGTTGCAAAGGTTATCAATGACAACAAAATTTATTTTTGAATAAAATTTGTGGAAAGAAATTTTTTTTCTGCGAAAGTTTTTCTTAATTCCAAACATCTTAAATTGTAATATTTGCCATATTGAAAAAGACAAAGGATCAAACAGTTTGCATTTTGCGCATGCATTGTAGTCGCGCTCAGCATGTTGGTAATTCAGTTTTAAAAATGTTACGAATTAGTTGATATTCATTATCATTAGACTTCAAAACATAATTATATATAACAATTGTTGCTTTATTTCCGTTTTTCTGGTGAGATTTAATGTACTAAATTTAGCACTGAATTTTCAGATCTAGAATTACTTTTTGCTTTGGTTTCACTGAGAGTATTATCATGCCAAATTTCAAGTATTTTCTCTTTCGAAATGTTCGGAAATTTACAGAGCGAAAACTTTAATGAATATTGTTTATGAACCTCCACATATTTATAAGCACTTTTTTCTTACTAAGAAATTATCCTGTGGGGTATATTTTTTATTACAGAGACATGCAGGGAGGTAATATATAGGGAGTCGGGGGGGGGGGGGGAGGCTGCCACTCCACTTTTTCTCGATATAGTCTTTTACTGCGTATTTAATCTGAAAATGTACATTGAAAGGCCGGTTGCCTTCACCCCCACCCACCCAACCCCATCCCCGTTTTTTTTTTTTTTTTTTTTGCCGTAAAGCAAAAATCTCTCAAATTGTTTTTGTCGGAAAAGTTGTAGCCTAGCGGCCCCCACGCCATCTCCACCCTACCCCACCCCCTCGGATTTTTCTAGTTTGGATTTTTATTTTTTTTTTAAATATACTTTTAGCATTACTTTTATTTTTGCTTGGAAAGGGTTTTTCATAAAAGTACCCGCCTCCCTCCCCCCCCCCCCCCCCCCCCGCCCTCCCTTTCAAAAACTATGCAACCCCTTGCCTGGTCAACATATAGATTAAAAATTATATTCTACTGAACTATAGATGTCTACATACATAAATTCTGTAATTGAAATACTTTGACGTCTAAGCAGTTTAATTTCTGGCTTTTTTCGGTCGTGTTTCTCTCTCTCTCTTCTTTAAAAGAGAAACAAGAAACGTACGAGTTATCATAAATTAATGACATTTGGTCACATGACACATGTTCTCAGTCAAAATGGCGGACAGGGAAAAAGGACTATTAGTGTTCCAATTTTACATATTGATTTTTATAGGTAAAATTTCGTGTTTTACGATAATTATTTAATGATGCTGTTAAGAACTATTCTTGGTATGTTTTGAAGAAAAATTTTGTCGATAGAATACTTTCTCGGACAAAAATTTTGAGATGAAGATCGCATTCTTTGGTTGTCACGATCGCATCACCTGACCCGGTCCTTATTAAGTATATCAGCATTGCTAGGTTGTAAAGACCTATGATTATGGTTAAGTTTAAAATAAATTCCTGATATTGTATTGCTGTTTTCCTGAATGTTGCGCTGTGCGAATAATGTGTAGATTTAGATTTGTTTTACCATGTGTACATGTACTTGTTTACAATAACAGATTATTTTTTTTTTCCTGGTTTATTTTAGGAGTGTGCTGTGGACAGGAGTTAGTGGTCACACATGCCCCGAGTTATGTTACATTCCAGGAACAGAAGGAACCGCTATCAACCAGCAATGTTCCTAATGTCATCACACATACGCTTGGTGTTCAAACAGATGGGGTATTGAAGAAAATGTCACATAATTAATGCCATCAGTGCTTTTCACCCTTATTTCAAAAGCAATCTTTTTCATCCACTGCGGGAAGAATTTTACATGATATTTCAAAATCAGTTTGAAAAATATGTTTTCTGGGTAAATTAAGAACACATTTCTCAGGGGAAACTGCTTCTACTTGGCTGTAAATATGGGTCATAAAAAGCTTGAATATAGTCAATTCAAACAGATATGGGATATATACAAGAACGAAATATGAAAATTCCTCAAGTGCAAGATACATATGAAAAATTATGAAAAATTACATTATTCATATCTTTTGATTTTTTAGGTCACCTGAGTCACTCAGGTGACCTATTGCTATCCGTTCTCGTCCGTCGGCGTATGTCATGCGTTAACATTTGAACATTTTTAGCTTCTTCTCTGAAACCGCTGAACCAATTTCAACCAAATTTGGAATATAGCATCTATGGGTGAAGGAGAACAAAAATTGTGAATTTCATGGTCCCTGCCCCCCTGGGGCCTGAGGGGTGGGGCTAAAACCACCAAAAATAATGCAATCTTTAAAAATCTTCTTCTTTACTCCTGGACATCAAGCAGTCAAACTGTTGGCATCATTGTAATAAGCATTGAGCCCTCTACCAAAATTGTGAAATTCATGGCCCCAGGGTCAGGGGTTCTGGCCCCAGGGTGGGGCTATATAGATCATATAGTGAAAGTGCATTATTTCTTTGAAAATCTTCTTCTCTGCTCCTGGGTATTAAATAAGGTAATTAAGTACATAGTTATGAAGAGCAAGAGTGCCTCTTCCAAAATTGTGAAATTCATGGCCCCAAGGTCAGGGGTTCTGGTGTAAGGGCGGGGCTCTATAGATTATATAGTGAAAATGCATTTCTTCTTTGAAAATCTTCTTCTCTGCTCCTGGGTATTAAATAAAGTAACTAAGTACATAGTTATGATGAGCAAGAGTGCCTCTTCCAAAATTGTGAAATTCATGGCCCCAGGGTCAGGGGTTCTGGCCCCAGGGTGGGGCTATATAGATCATATAGTGAAAGTGCATTATTTCTTTGAAAATCTTCTTCTCTGCTCCTGGGTATTAAATAAAGTAACTAAGTACATAGTTATGATGAGCAAGAGTGCCTCTTCCTGAATTGTGAAATTCATGGCCCCAGGGTCAGGGGTTCTGGTGTTAGGGCGGGGCTCTATTGATTATATAGTGAAAATGCATTTCTTCTTTGAAAATCTTCTTCTCTGCTCCTGGGTATCAAATAAAGTAACTAAGTACATAGTTATGATGAGCAAGAGTGCCTCTTCCAAAATTGTGAAATTCATGGCCCCAGGGTCAGGGGTTCTGGCCCCAGGGTGGGGCTATATAGATCATATAGTGAAAGTGCATTATTTCTTTGAAAATCTTCTTCTCTGCTCCTGGGTATTAAATAAGGTAACTAAGTACATAGTTATGATGAGCAAGAGTGCCTCTTCCTGAATTGTGAAATTCATGGCCCCAGGGTCAGGGGTTCTGGTGTTAGGGCGGGGCTCTATTGATTATATAGTGAAAATGCATTAATTCTTTGAAAATCTTCTTCTCTGCTCCTGGGTATTAAATAAAGTAACTAAGTACATAGTTATAATGAGCAAGAGTGCCTCTTTCAAAATTGTGAAATTCATGGCCCCAGGGCCAGGGGTTCTGGTGTTAGGGCAGGGCTCTATAGATTATATAGTGAAAAAGCATTAATTCTTTGAAAATCTTCTTCTCTGCCCCTGGGTATTTAGTAAAGTAACTAAGTACATAGTTATGATGAGCAAGAGTGCCTCTTCCAAAATTGTGAATGTCATGGCCCCAGGGTCAGGGGTTCTGGTGTTAGGGCGGGGCTCTATCAACTATCTAGTGAAAATGCATTAATTCTTTGAAAATCTTCTCTGCTCCTGGGTATTAAATTAAGTAACTAAGTACATAGTTATGATGAGCAAGAGAGCCTCTTCCCACATTGTGAATTTCATGGCCCCAGGGTCAGGGGTTCTGGTGTTAGGGCGGGGCTCTATCGACTATATAGTGAAAATGCATTAATTCTTTGAAAATCTTCTCCTCTGCTCCTGGGCATTAAGGTGATAAACTAAGTAATAGTTATGATGAGGAGGTGGGCCCCTTCCAGAATTGTGAAAGCCATGGCCCCTGGGTCACGGGTTCTGGTGTTAGGGCAGGGCTCTATTGATTATATAGTGAAAATGCATTTCTTCTTTGAAAATCTTCTTCTCTGCTCCTGGGTATTATTTAAACAAATTAAGTGCATGGTTATGATGCATAAGGATGCCTTTTCAAAAATTGTGAATTTCATGGCCCCAGGGTCAGGGGTTCTGGTGTTAGGGTGGGGCTCTATTGATTATATAGTGAAAATGCATTGATTCTTTGAAAATCTTCTTCTCTGCTACTGGAGATTTTTTAAACAAACTAAGTGCATGGTTATGATGCATAAGGATGCCTTTTTAAAAATTGTGAATTTCATGGCCCCAGGGTCAGGGGTTCCGGTGTTAGGGCGAGGCTCTATTGATTATATAGTGAAAATGCATTGATTCTATGAAAATCTTCTTCTTTGTTACTGGAGATTATTTAAACAAACTAAGTGCATGATTATGATAGGCAAGGATGCCTCTTCCAAAATTTTTAAATACATGGCCTCAGTTTTTGGGGTTCTTGAGGAGGGGGTAGGGGGGCTCTATTGATTATATAGTGAAAATGCATATTCTATTAATTAATCATTAACTAATCCTGTATGCTCCTTAGTGTTGAGCTGATAAATAAATTGCTTAGCTATAATGAAGATGGGAGCTTCGAACAGAATTTTTAAATCTTGTGGTCCTAGGGTCAGGGGTTCTGGCATAACGAGGAAGGGGGGGGGGCTTTTGATAATATAGTGGAAAAGTGTTAATTCTTTGAAGTCCATAGTTATGATGATGAGGGTAACTCTTCCAAATTTGTAAATTTCTTGACCTTTGGTCTTGGGTTCTGGTGATAGGGTAAGGCTTTGTTGAATCTGTAGTGAAAATGCATTGTACCTGTGAAATTCTTCTCTGCTTCTAGGTATATCGAAAGCAAACTGAGTAAAAGTTTAAATGATATAAGTAAGCGTATTTCTACCAGATTTTTGAACATCTGGACCATTTGTCTAAGCATTCTGGTCCTGGACAGGGCTCTATTAATTTGTATTCTACTGAGAGAAGTTATTCCCCTTTTCCATTCACCTTTGATAATTAATCACTGTAAATAATGTATTTGAAAGATTAATAGAATAAGATAATTATGCAAGAATGTTTATCGTATAATTCAAAAAGTACTTTCTTAGTTTTAATAATCAGGCAGACCTGTAAGTAATAGATAAATAAAAATGAGACAAAAATAACTTATCTAATTAAAAGTTCTTCAAAGACCATAAGAGAGGTCAATGCTAGAGGTCTTAATATGGGTTTAAAAATAGTACAGAAGCACTAATAGTTTGTTAATAGTCTGCATGGTGATAATATTAAGTGGGGGACAGATTAGAACTTAAGTTATGAGTTGATACTGAATACTAGACTAATTATTTTGTTGATCCTGATCTTCCTACTTCTCTTGCTTTTGGGCAACAAAGCTTCATCTGTCAGTGTATTTAACTTCTAAATTGTTGTATTATACTCAGGTGACCGTTAAGGACCTTGGGCCTCTTGTTTATTTTTATTTTAATTCAGCACAATCCATGCCTTCTAATTAGTGAAGTTAAAATGCTATTTTCTGACAGCCTGCAGATGGCTTGTGTACACTTTATCATTCTTGACTATTTATATTCTTTAAATTAGGATGTCAACTGGAATGGGCTTGCACAGAATTCCTTCTTCAAAAGACCTAAGGCTAATGTACTAGTTTCAATTCTTGGACACAATGACTTAAAGAATAAGCCACTAACTGTCAAAAACATGGCCCGCTTTCCTGTAAAAACAGTAAGTATTTGGTGAAAAATGAAGTTAACTTACACAGTCATCTGATGTTAATTCTTATGTAATGCTTTGGTTGTACCTTGCTACATGAAAGCCTTTCCTTTACTAAGATATACGATACAATGATGTCTTGACCGTCACCAATAAAAGTTCTTCCTTTAATTGTAGGATATTCCTATGGTGGACATTGCCTCTCTGATGAACACACTTCAGGGTGTTTTCTTTGATCAGAGCCCATTGTTACTTGATGCAGGCATGGATAACAATGTAAATATTTAAAGCTGTTTACTCTGCGTTTATGATAATGTGGTAATTTTGAGTATGGTCTATCATTCAAGTACATACTCCTAGAAGAGCATACAGTCTTAATGAATTTAGATTCCATTGAAATATGGTAATTTTATTTATTATAATTTGTAGCTGTATTCAAATACATACCTCTAGAATACAATAGTACATAGACATAACAGATTTCAGAATCCATTAAAATGACGTGGACATTTTACAGTGGATTCATATATTTATTGAATATAAATTAAATATAATTCATCCGCAGTTTCACCTTTCATTGTCTATTATAAAACATACATATGCATGCAAACTTCAAGAATTTTCTGTACATATTTCTTTTGAAGTTTATGGTTCAATAATTGATTCAGAAGTACATTTTTCTTTTAGTTTTTTGATGTCCACTCTGACTTTGATGTTTTCCATAAACTTCCTGATACATTGAGGAAGATGTCTGACCGGCTGTTGGACTCGGACTCCGTGCTACAGAGACATTCCGTGGGGTCCCTGAACTCCAGTAAACCTAGTGACCTCAAACTGATGGGGGAATTACAGCTGATACAGGATGTAATTAACACGGTAAAGGAATAAATGTATTATAATAAAACTTATTTAATCAATTTAATTAATGCAGAAATAAAAATAAAAATTACATCCCATATACTGTAGACTGGCAAATAATCACAATGGTTTTAATTTCACTATGTTCGCGATTCATCATTTTTCCACGAAATTAAAGCCATCGTGAATGCTATCATTAGTTTTTTTAAAACATTTAAATGCCTATACAAAATTTAAATTTAAATTAATTTCTTGCAGCGTGAAATTAAAACCATCGCGGCTGGTACTCTTTGAGAAATTGTGAAATTTTAACACCGTGGAATTAAAACGACTTACAGTACTTGACAGTTGACTAGCCTTTACTAGGCTAAATTCTGTTTGATAAGTAATTTGTAACATAAATTTATGCTAGATTTTTTTTCATCTTTTTAAGGAATTGGAGAAATGCTTTAGTTGTATAGTTCAAGTAACAATTTTTGTTAAATTTGTGGGTTTTTCCCACAGTAATGTTAAATATGAAAGGCAAATAAATAAGATGGCTAACAATTAGAATAAATGTTAGTATTTATTGTTAAAGGTGCTTGGACACAGATTTGAAGTTAATGTTTTCTCAAATTTTCTGTATGATTTTATGACTTATATGTTGATATAGCATTTCATACTAAAATATAATAAAAATCTTATTTCATCTACAAGTTATTAAAACTTCGAATTTCTGGACGCGTTGGATTGACACATCCTTGCTCTTTCACATATTTTAATTTTATTCTTAATACTTAAGAAAAGTGGCAATTTTGTTGTGTATTAATGATAAATATTAAAACTATAACCCAGAAAATTCAGAGTAGAAATGTTCGAAAGCAAAACCCACCCGCAGTATTGTAAGTCCGTGCTCAGTGGTGTGTGCAGAGTTTAACAATTGAACACACCCGATGAATCGTAAACATTAACAACAACAGAGCTCATGCCCTGTTTACAAAAACAGTTTACATTTCACGGGTGTATTCAATTTGTTAAACTCTACACACATCACTGAGCACGGACTGACAATATCTGGTGAGTTGGTTTTGCTTTCGAACATTTCTACTCTTAATTTTCTGGATTATAAATGTAATATTTTCATTAATACATAACAAAATCGCTTCTTTTCTTAAATATTAAGGATAAAGTTAAAATTTGTGTATTAAGTGCAAAGATGTGTTAATCAAATGCATCCCGGGATTCGTAGTTTCAATAATTTCCAGATAAAATAAGGTTTTAATTATGTTTTCGTGTGAAATGCTATTGCAATATATAAGTCGTGTTTTCATGCAGAAAATTTGAGAAAATATTAAGTGCAAATCTGTGTCTAAGCACCTTTAAGGCATTGTAAGCACACAGTTCAGATGCATGTACATCTGTAGATGAATTAAATTTAAATCTTTCATTTGTAGGTGAGTGATCATCCAGAGATGCTAAAGAGTAAAACCCCAGATCTCTTCTCGTTCACCATCACTGGTCTACATGATATCGTTACCAAACACGGAAGGAAGTCCCCGCAGACAGAGGACGCTCACAGATTGATATCAGACTTTATTACAAAGGTAAGACAAACAACACACAGACTTCAACAGGCTTTTATGATGTGTACAAGTATGATAATCATACAGGGTGAACGTACTTAAGTATTAACTGGAGTTAACCAAATAACAGATGTATAGTTAATCAATAACAGAAGTTTAGTTGAACGTTTACGGGATTATTTTCACCCCTTGTCAGACCATTCAGATTTGCAAACATTTTGCCCCATTTTAAAATTTGCCCAAAGTTGTGTTTAGGGATGTGCGATTTTATCGGTATACCGGTTTATCACAATTTTTTATTGTGTGATACGTATCGTGACACGGAGACTAAAATACTGGTATTTGGTACATAACTATAAATTCCGGAAATTATTCATTTAATTTGTTCAAACTATTGAATGACAATTACAGGAAGTGTAAAAAATTTTGAAAACAGTTAAACAACAGCATCAAAACATGCTTTATATTAAATAAATGAAAATTTAAAAAGTAAAATTATGTTTTTATAGCATATTTTTAAGAAATATTACGGGAATTCATTTGAAATTGTAGCAAAAATTGTGTGTAAAAATATCATGATTTATCGTGATATTTTTTGGAAAAAAAATCGTGATATATCAAGATACGAAATTTTTGCCGATATCCATCCCTAGTTGTGAAAGGGAGATAAATCTGTCTTTGTTGAATTTGCCTTACTTTGAATTCACCTACTGACAACGGTGGTAGGTGTAATAATAGATTGTGACAAAAATCTCCCTGTATAAGGCTCTCTTCAGACTGTCTGAATCAAAGAAAGTAAAAAAAAAAATACCCCTGCAAATATGTAAATGGAATAGGTATAATTTCAGATGAAAAAACACCTGTAGATATCTAAATGGAATATATATGATTTTAGATGACGGAGGATTTCAAGAAGTTGTACAAAGATAATGTGGTGGTGGAGGTGCTGGCCATTAATCCTGAGAAAAAATATGTCAGAAAAACGAGAAGTCTGATGGCCGTGGATGTAAGTAACAGAGGGGAAAGGAGACCTCACAGAGGGTGAAGGTCATACTGCTGCATTGCTCTGATCATTTACTGATGGCAATAAATGGTAGGAACAGGGCATGATGGAGGGGAAGGGGGGCATATTGAGGGATGGAGGTCATACTACTGCATGATTATTCACTGATGGCATTTGATGTAAGGAACAGTAGAGGGGTAATACATAAGCCACAGTGCTGATAATATTGATTGAAGTTTGTGATGTACAAGGGAAGTAACTTAAGAGTAACTTAAGTTGTTTTATTAAAGTCACACAAGAGGATGGCTGGAGTTTTAATCAGTAAACAATTTACATGGGATGGTACTTTTAATTTATTTTCATGGGTGGGGAGGAAGGAAAAAAAAATAATTTTATGAGTGGTTGTCCTCTAAAGAAAGTTTTATTCCCCCCTACATTTTTTGTTGTAATAGTCCTAATCTGTCTTAAGTGAAATCTCAGACAATGCTTCAATGGACGAATTTCACATTCTTAAGAGTTATCTCCCGTTGTTGGCATAACTCTCATTTTTCTCACTTTGTCCTTTGTAAGTTACCTGTAAATATTTTCAACCTTGGTAATGTTATAGATGGAAAACAGTGCCTTACGCCAGATGACCCCAAATTGACCCCGCAAAGGGAAATAACTTTTATAATTGTGAAAGTCATCTATTTCTCTACAGTTCAATATTTAAAGTTTTACAATGTATTCAAAAACAATGTACTGGTATTTAGAGGTCTTGAGCAAAATAAATCTGTAGTAGTCAATTGTCTATCAGGTCAACTATTTTGGCCTTGGTAATTGTTATTGATATTGAGTTAAAGAATGTCTATAAAAATCTTGCTCCGATTTCAGGACTCTGAAGTGAATATCAATCTCTCCAAAGATTACGACGAGAACTACCCTGCCATATTTAACATTATTCTGTGGATGATGATCGCCATGTTTGTCGTCATCTTCGCAGTATCTTACGGAATGTGGAACATTGACCCTGGCCGGGATAGTATTATCTACAGAATGACCACAACCCGCCTAAAGAAGGACTAGTCACTTCCTGTCTCTAGCTATTTCCTGTGATTTACCATCGAATGTTTCTTTCAATATACTGTTCTAATAACAGGGAAATTATGAAAGTTAAAATTAAAATATTTATAAGGTGAATCAATGTACTGAGCCTACATCCCTTCTCTCTTGCAACAGTGGAGAGGATATCTGTCATTTTTAATATTTAATTTACAGGGTACAGCAGTGAAATTTTAGATGGAAAAAGTACATTTTAAAGATAAGGCTATAAAGTACTCCTGTGTATTGAAGTCCAGTGTGTAAATGCTATGAACAAATCTAAACTTGTTTTTATTCAGGGAGGGTGCTCAAGAATGGGGCCATTTTCTCTAGGTCTCTTTATACGATATTGAACCAAGAATTCCAGCATGTTAGTATGTTACGAAATTTACAATATTGTTTGTAGAATGTGTGTGTATAAACACTTTTTGCAAAGTTCTAGTCTAGTTACTAGTGAGGGTATTACATGTTCTGTATGTTCTTGTAGTTAGTCAATGTGGATTCTTTTATAAAAAAGGGTTGATTACAAAAAAAATTGTACTTTCTCTGTATCAAATATAACAGCACAATATTTACATGTATTATTATGGGTTGGAATTGAAGATTGTGATAAATCACTGAGGATTGTATTGTAGGTATCTTACATAGTATACAGGGACATTTTTTTTCAAATTTTGTCTTATATTTTGATTCAAACACTGGAAAAAAATGATATAAAGTTTTATCTTCAGTATAACATATCCAAAGCTTTTATGCTACTTGTAAAATACTAGAAGCAGATTAGTAGAAATGAAACTTGAGCTAAACATTTAATTCGTAGGATTCAGTAACAGAGGATTCCAATGTGACCTTGTTCCTTATACATGTATGTTAAATTGAGAATGTATATGGCATCTCATGACACTGTCTAATTATGTATTGACTGCTGTGATGTATGTGTGTACATTAGAAAGGGGAATTTATTGAAATGTTAATTCAGCATGATCATGAATTACCTGTACTGTCCCCCCCAAAATGCTAACTTTTGCAGTTGGAAATCAGTTTTGTGTGAGTACGAGTGTAATTTTTGATAGAGAGTATTTGCGTTTATTAGGTTTGTAAGTGTGACACGTGTGGGTGTTTGACTGTTGTGGTAATTTAATTATCTGTTGATGTAGATATCTCCTAAATATGTAATAAACAAGAGTATAAACAGAATGAATAAACACTTATGTAAACTTAAGCTTGGCTTATAATTATTTATCATTTAGGCCAACTTTAAAATAATGTTTGTTTGCTCTCTCCCAACTCAAGTTGAAAAAAATTGGGTTGGTAGGTGGGAATTTTTTTCCTGGAAAATTTCAACATCAATGCTGAATTTTCCAAATTTATTTTCTGAAATGCATAAAAAATTGTTTCCTGGAGGTTAAAAAAAGTTTTGAGTTGGGCCCTTTTTAGCCAGTTGGTTGGGAGAGGGCAACCAACAATTTTTTAAAGATAGCCTTATATGTAAATGTGATAACTCACACCATTCTCTTATTTTGACAAATTTGTCTAGAGATCAAAACAAATTATTGGATATACAGCAGAATATGTACTAGGAATTTACACCTAACCAAATGAACTGATTCAACTGAAACACTGATCCAGTCTGTTTCAATAAACAAGGCGTGAAACAAGGAGATATTTTTAATTCTTTTATTGCTAATTAAGCTAGGTGATGTGTATACATATATATAAAGGTATTGCACTGACATAAACAATCATCTTAAACAAAAAAAAACTGTCTTAAAAATAAATACTGAAATGATAAGTTTTGCGTCTGGCATTAAGTAAATAATTGTGTATATATATCTGAATTATTAATTATTTTATGATTGGTCCCCATTTCTGATATGGCACAAAAAAATCTGGATATGCTAAATAAAGATGACAATTTCTTATGGAAAAAATTGAAATACTACTGTTGCATCATAAATAAACTTCCTTTGAAACAACTTTCATGATTTTTGCAGTCACATGGAAAAAAATTAGTAATTTTTCTGTCTGAATTTGTATATTTTTTTCTTTCAAGACAAACATTCTTTTTTATGTAGACCAATATAACTCCTTTTGAGAAATTTCTCAAAGTGCATGTAGGTTGCAAGTTTAAAAGGAAAGCATGAACAGGTGTAGAGCTCTATTAATTATTAATTCAGCTGACAGCATTGGCTTACTGTAGACATTTACATTCAGTCATTTTTGATAGGGCTGCTGAGATCACTGAAAGTCTTCAAACTGATCTAGTAAATCCAAAATAAGTGAACCATGGCAATATGAATCTCGATTAAACTGAACCTTAACACTCCCCCCCCCCCCCCCCCCCCCCCTTTAAAAAAAAGAAAAAAAGAGGTAAATGGACCATAATGCTCACTTGAATCACTTACAAGTTAGAACAATTGCTATTTGGTGTCTTGAACATGGATATATCCAATGCAATGGATATGTAGACGAGCTGGAAGACCCAACCACTTTTTCTTTAAGTATTTCAACTTCAACATCTTAACTGCTTGGATATATCTAAGTTTTTTGTTGGTCCAATTGAGTTTTAGATGACAAGGTTTGACTGTTTGTGTGTTTCAAATGGATATTTTTTGTTCATAATGAGATGACAATCAATTTTGAAGTATGTGGTAATTATCCCTCTTCTAAATACATATAAATCCATCTCAAAAATATGCCTTGCCATATCCATGATGATAAGTGATGACCAAATAAGGATATAAAGGAATAGACAGAGGTTCCAGGAGAGGAGGTGTGGTTATAAAGGTGTAACCCCCTGAATTTATGCATTATAATTAGGGATGGCAACGAATATTCAAACATTCGAATATTCATTCGATGAGTTGATATTCGAATATGAATTTAAGATTCAAATATTCGGTGTTTTTTCAGATTTCATAAAAAGAAGTACTGTGATTAATAAATTTTGATTAGAACAGTGCTGGAATTATCCCTGTTTAATTTACTAGCGATCAATTTCTTTCACTACTTTCTTATCTTATAAATCTACTAAATTACATGTATTTTGTTTTGAGTAAGGTGTTAAAGAATTGTACAAAAATGCTTTATGTATAATACAAAACGTACTTTCATAGTTTTTATTAGTTAGATACGATCGGATCTAGAATTGAGGACAAAAATGAAATCTAAGAATGTCTAAAAGGCGTGAAGAGTATACTTACCAAAATAAGATTAATTGATCATTGAATGAATGTTCGATAGAATTAATCTGTAATTAATATTGTAAAGGGCTTAATTTCAGAATAAATGTGTAAATTACTTGATTATTTCGGGTTGTACATAATCCCGAATTTTATATTCATTATCGGGAAATTAGTTAATTACCTAGGAAAATTGTCTATGGAAATATTTGTTTACATTGTATCAAAGATTATAATCATATCTCTTATCAGGTAGATAATTGTAATTCATTACACGTACATGTATTGGGGAGGTCAACATTACCGCTATATTGCGAAAATTTTCAACTCATTACCGCTACATTTTCTAAAATTTTCGGGCGATCATTACCGCTACATTTTATCAAAGGAGCTAATGCCGACAACAACTCATTACCGCTTCATACCAAATCGGCCAGCAATGGCACGGTAATTGAGTTCCATTCAATATAATTCACTCACCATGTAGTGAAGTACAATTTGGATCTGAATTCTAATCAAAATTAGTATAGGCCTATATGAGTCTGTAGTAGATTTAGCGTCACATGAATGTCATTGCTACTGTTGAGATGTTTGTAACAAATCGCGATAATATTAATGCAGGATTAGTTTTCAATGGATATAAATTTCGTATAAATAAGACATTTAAACACTCCAAAGTGTGGAGATGTAGGGAAATAGGTCTTATGCATGTATATATATGTTGTACTGTACACGCATAAGACGCTGGCTAACGAAAGAGGCAATGTACAATGTAGCGGTAATGTATACTTTTAAATGTAGCGGTAATGTATCCTTAAATTTTTTGTAGAGGTAATGTGCATGTAGCGGTAATGAAAATTTTGAAAATGTAGCGGTAATGATACGCACCCACGTATTGAAATCTGAACAGTATACCGTTACGACTATCTTGCCTTTTGAAAGACGAATGGTTCCTCAGTTAGAGCTACAATAAATACACGTTTCATTTGTTAGAATTATACTTTTCTACATTTAAATCAATTATTTATTTCAAACATTGACAAATATCAAATGGAATTTCTTATTGTACACCTACAATTTTACTTCCAATATAAGTATACCTACGCTAAACCTTTTATGAGAGTAGGATGATGCATATTTAAAATAAAACAGATTTATTTATTTTATCGAATATTCGAATATATTCGAATACTTTCATTGAATATTCGAATATGAATTATTGATAAAATTGACATCCCTAATTATAATAGTTCAGAGGTTAAAATGTACCACTTCTACTTTCCTTCCTAATCATTAGTAAATTCTGATAACCTAAAAAAGAAAGAGTGAATCCAAATTAGAATGATTAACAATAAATAACGGAATGCATCGGATTGGACAAAACAGGAGTATTAATATCATCAAAAACATGACTTAATTAATCTAGCATGATAATAAATACAAACTAATTTTATACAAAAACAAACAGCACATGGATTTCAAAATTGAAAAATTTGCAAAAAAGATTTGCTACTGATATAGTTAACTGATTAATAATTGGAATAAAAAAACCAAATTTATCAATAAAAAAAAAACTTTCCAACATTTTGCAAAAAAAATGTTTGCAGAATAAATTAAATTGTTTGATATCAGACAATAAGATAACAATTTCTTTCCAGAAAAAAGAGTATTTTGTGTGACTATTTATTGTCTGGGAATAAAGTGTTCTAAAACGTATACTCATATCCATTCTTTAGAAGATATTTTTTTTTAGCTTTGTGTTTTTTAAAGTTCTATAAAAAAATTTTATAGGACAGACAACAATTACAAAGTTTAACAGTTGATAAAATACTGATTTCACAATAGAAGAGATGGTCTGTTAGCTTTATAGAACAACTGTATTAGTAATCTATATGAATATCCAGCAAAATGGATCAATTCCCAGCAGGAGAATTTGAGCTAAAATTTGTGTCCAAAATTTATGTGATTCACTGCAACCTATGAATAAATTCTTTTTATCTATTCAAAGTGCTGATCGAGTCAAAGGCATTTTTAAATGAAACATCTAAGGGTACTACTTTGCTGTATCTGTACTTGCTATGCTATACTGTGCTATAAATACATCCCTGCTTCTTTTGTATGTTAGCTAAATGCAGACAAAATTTCCAGGTAGATAAGTTGTGTATATTTAAGATATGGCCATTTATGGACTGGAATTTGCATTAGAAGATACACTAATCAACATGTTTTGCTAGACTTATAAAAGATATGTAAAATATTTCTTAAATTACACAAAAAGAACAAATACATGGCCCTTAATTCAACTGAACTGAAAACAAAGAAAACATGTTCATCTACTGATAATAAATAATGAGATCAGAAAAAAACCTTAAAATTGTAAATATATACCAACATTTCAACAAAATCTATATGAACATAATGCTAAAATGGCAGGAAAATCATACACTGATTTTTATGATATTTAGTTCCAATAGAAATGATAAATGTACCTCCTACGACACCAAGACCTTTCAGAAATCTTCAATTAACAACAAGCAGTATATGAAACTCCTGAAAAATGTACTTGTTAGGCAGATTTTTCCGAATTAACTAGCAAAAGGCCCATGGGCCATGACAGTCACCTGAGTATTGAGCAACTTTCATGAGTTTCTCAGGCTTTAAAAAAAAAACATATCTGGTGACTCTGGTGACATAAAAATACTGAATTAAAAAAATTATCATCCCTGATGAAGAGTAGGTAGTATAGAGAATGTAGGCTAACAGGAGTTTCATACACTGAAATCAGGTCCTCACTAAAATTTACAAAGTAACAGGTACATCAAGAGCTTATAATCATAACCTTTTTGAAATCTTCAAGATATTATCATGGGATCAGCATTCATTTTTCAGTTTACAACAAGGCCATTTTAAAATTTCAAGATGACATCATAACTACTCAGTAATCTTCAAAATAATTTCACTGCCCTTTTAGATTATTCCAGATGACATCCAAGCTTGAGGCATGTTTGAAGTCTCTTTACTTTTGTAGATGTCAGTCCCC